ACTGTTTTCTTTCATCCTCACAGCAGGCCTGAAAGGTGAGCATAATTGCCCTCCTTTTTAAACATAGGAACACTGTAGCTCAACGAGGTTAAGCAGTTTATCAGATTATCTGATTCCAAAACCTAATCTCTTCCTACAACCCCATGCTGACACTCCAGGGACAATTCAGCTTGTATTTTTCTCCTCTAGAGACCTGTCCCTTCAGAAAAACTTCCCTGGGTCCTTCTCAGCAAAGTCTAAGAAAATCCACCCAAGCCGATTGCAGGTGGAATCATGCATCTTTGAAAAGAGTTGTCTCCATGCAGTAAGGAAGAGGGCACCGTGTGGGAGAGGCCAGTGGACAACAGACCAAAAACACCAGCCTTGTCCTTCTGGTTCCCAAACCTGATGGGACTGTTCCCTTCCTGCACAATTTAGCTGGCTCAGTGCACAGCCTGTGACAGCTGCAGAAATATTTCTGGAATATTTAGCCAAAACCAAATTCATAATACGCTAGAGATGATTCAAGGCTGATGGCATTTCCTCCCCGGCCTTTTTTTTTCCTTGGGAAGAGATAGCATTCTTTAACCTGGGTTGTAACCTGGGTTCTTCCAGAATTAAAAAAGGTCTATAAACCTTTTTTAATTTTCGTAACCTGGGGGTATTTTATAAATGTTGGTCAAGGCACTTCAACTTAGAGCAACTTTCAGACACTTTGGGAGTGGGAGGTGGAGAATTTGAACATGGGTTTTAAACGCTGCTTCAGGCTAATATATGGAAGGAAATCACTTTTGTTCTATTGATGTATGGGATGGGAATGCTGTTTTGTATTCTCCTAATATTCTAAAGGGGCCTTCCCTTGTGGCTCAGCTAGTAAAGAATCTGCCTGCAATGTGGGAGACCTGGGTTTGATCCCTGGGTGGGGAAGACCCCCTGGAGAAGGGAAAGGCTACCCACTCGAGTATTCTGACCTGGAGAATTCCATGGACTGTATTGTCCATGGGGTCGCAAAGAGTCGGACACGACTGAGCAACTTTCACTTCACAATATCCTAAAGGATCAGGCTCTACAACTTTTGGTTGATGTCTCTCTCTTTCTGTTAAAGAGTGATCTCACTTTATAGGGAAACAGGAGAATAACACCTCGATTCAAAATGGATAAGTACATATAGTGTCTTGAAAACTGCAAATCAAAAAGCCCTGGGGCAAGACAGTTGTTTCTGTCTCTCTCAGTCTCTCTCTCTCTTTTTTTTTTTTTTCTTTAAGATGTAAGTTGTTCAGCAAGATCTCTTTATTTGCCTTTGAAATCAAATGTATCTGACTCAAGTTCCAGTGTGGTGAATTAGTGATAACACAGACTGATTAATTTATTTTTATCTCTAAAAAGCAATCCATAGCAGGATGCCAAACTTTATGTATAACATATAATCTCAGTCATGTCCTAAAGCCCATATTTGTATATATGAATATACATTTAAAAAAATAAGAGACAATTTGAACGTTAACAGTGGTTATTTTTAAATTGTGGAAATATAGCCTTCGAGCTCTAGAGCCTGTACTCTGCAACAAGAGAAGCCATGGCAAGGAGAAGCCCAAGCACCACAACCAAGGATAGACCCCACTCGCTGTAACTAGAGAAAACCTTCACAGCAATGAAGACCCAGCACAGCCAACAATAACTAAATAATTAAGTGGTTTTTTAAAAAGAAAAGATGCGAAAGACCAGAAAGATTGCAGATTCTGAGTAAGATGAGCAAGACTACAGTCCTTATTCTTTTCTTAATCAGATGTCCTAGAGTTAATTTGTGTCAGACTTTTATTTCACCAAAAAAGAGGAAATCAGATTTATAAAAAGAAAAGGATTCACAAGCAAAGTTGGGGACACTTCTAAACACGTTGCCCAATCTGAACAAGGAAGGATGGGAAAACCTGGACTGAGATGGAAAGCACAGGTTCTCACGGTGAGGACCCAGGCCTGCCTGCAGGCTTTCTGGGAGCATCAGAAGGACATGGGATTTGGATCAGAGGCCTGAGTTCCACTCACAGCATTGCCACTTATCAGTCATGTGACACCAGCAATTCCAGCGACATCTGTGGGCATTGATGCTGTTCATAAAAGAGGTCTGCTCCCAGCTCTGTGTGTTAGTTGTTCAGTCACGCCAACTCTTTGCAACGTCATGGACTGAAGCCCACCAGGCTCCTCTGTCCATGGGATTCTCCAGGGAAGAATACTGGAGTGGATTGCCATTCCCTTCTCCAGGGGATTTTCCTGACCCAGCAACCAAATCCAAGTCTTTTTCATCGCAAGCAGATTCTTTGCTGTCTGAGCCGGAAGCCTGACTCTAGGGATCTGTCTTCCTTGGCTGGGAAGAATGGCATTCCAGATAAAGTCCAAAATACGAGACCCCATGTCAGTGTCCAACCAGGCCACTCCTTCCTTGGAATTGCCACTTAACCATCCTGCACACACTGGGTTTCCTCATCCTTGGTTTCAGGTGTCCTCCCTTGGGAGGGAGTGTCGCAAGGACTGACTAATGCACTTGCGTGTCCCAATCACGATGATGCAGTGGACAGCTGCAGGGAGTTCCGACCTGCCATTCCCAGCTCCACAATAGGATTGCAGGGCCATCCTGCCGTGACCTTAAAAGTCACCTTTCCGTCCTGCATCTGGTGTTCTTACGCTTTAGGCTTCTTTCCAGAGGTCTGAGAGCATCCCCTGTAGCAGGTGGCCAGTCTGGCTAACTTCATGCGGCAAGGGGGAGTCCACGCTCAGGGACGCAGCTGAAACTTCTTCAACATCCTCTCCCTCCTAAAAAATAATTTAGAGATTTTAATCTTTCCCAGAAACCACTGAAAATATCATCCACGAAGAAGGAGGCACGAAAGTTTCCTTCTAGCCTCCAGAGAAAATGAATTCTTAGAGGTGTGTGTGTTTTTTTTTTCTTTTCTTTAAACACACACACGTTAATTTCTGGGGGGTTCCCTCTCTTGTTTTCAAATAGCACGGATTTTGAGCTCAAGCCGCGGTGCTACGCGGTAGTTTTATTGATAAATTCCTCCTATAGTCACCGCGATTACAAAGGCGGTCAAGTCCGGTGGGCGCGCCCTGGAGAGTTTCCTTGGCAACCGAGGGCAAGCTCACGCCCAAGTCCAGAGGAAGACTGTTCCTTTGCGCAGGTGAGTGTTCCAAAACATAAATGAACCTGTCCTGGCGTTTCCACAGGTCAGTTCTGTCTGTTGGTGATCCCCCTTGAGACCCGGTCCCCGGTTGCTGTCCAGGGATGGAGTAGAGGGTGGAGAGACGCGAGGAGGGCAGGTGTCCGGGTCCCCAGCGCCTTCCTTGTTTCTCTCGGTCGTCCGCTCTGCTCCGTCGCGGGGTTGGGACCCCCGTCTGATGCTCTCCAGAATCCCTCCGGTCCCCAGCCCAAGCCGGTCGGGGTTCGGGGATCTGGCCGAGAGGCGAAGGGAACGGATCCGCCGCCCCCTCGCGCGGCACGGTGGCCCCAGCTGCCCCGCGCCCCCGGCCCCGGCGGCTGCAGCGGGAGGCGGGCTGCCGGTATGCAAATACCCGGCGGGGCGGGAGCCGCCTCCCGCTCGAATAAAAGCTCGGGGCGGGACGCGGCGCAGAAGCCGCTGCCTCCCGGGAGCCGGCCGTGCGCTCTGGCCCCGCGCCCGCCCGCTGCCTTCCCGCGCGGCCCGCGGGCTCCCGGTAAGGACGCGCGCGGCGGCTCGGGGACCCGAGGCGGCTCGGGGAGAGGGCGCGCGTCGCGACCCGGGGGACCACAGCGAGCTGCCCGCGTCCCCTTGGTCCCCGCTCCTCCTCGACCCACGCGCGCCCTCCACGAGCTTTCTCCGTGGGAACCCGGAGCCAGCTCCTCTGCTGCGCCCTCCCAGGGGCCGGGGCAGGTGGCATCTCCTCGGGGCCAGTTTGTCCCTAGGCCATCAGCGATCGAAAGCGAAAGGAACTGCGTTCGGTGTGCGCGAGGGTAGGAGGGGTGAAGATTGTCTCGGAGTGGAGGGAGACGGGGGTCGACCAGAGCGATGGGACTTGCACGATGGGACTCTGGCTATTATTATCCTGGGTTTTTTTGTGACCATCCGGGGAGCTGCTTTGGGAGGCGATGGAAGGGAAGAATAAGCCGAGGGGAGAAAGGTGTGGGTGTGTACACGTTTGAATGAACAGAACGAATCGACTTTAGACGCTGGACAGAAACTTCCAACCAGACTCAGCATGTTACCCACCTCTGCAGAGATGACACCTAGTCTTGTGGGAAAATGACTTTAATGGCCCCCTCTCTTTCCCTCCCCCGCCCCAACCTTAGTTTACAAAAAGAGGTTTTTCTGAAGTCTTTTTTTTTTTTTTTTTCCGTATTTATTTGGCTGCACTGGGTCTTAGATGCAGCATGTGGGATCTAGTTCACCAAGTCCCTGCCCTCCCCCACCCTGCATTGGGAGCGTGACTCTTAGTCATTGGACCACCAGAGAAGTCCCTTGAAGTCTTTTAAAATTAGCATCAATCTCAAGGCTGGTCAGCTGAGATCTGGGTTTGCCCAGGCTGCCCTTTGTGGAAGTGCCTCCTCTCTGGTTCCTGCATCCCAGCACACACACAGTCCCAGGAGAGGGAGAAAAATAGTCCAGGAGGTCAGGCTACTGTCCCCTGCTTTGTGATATCCCATGTGGGTCTTTCTCTGGAATAGGAGAGACAGAAACCTCAGTCCTCCTCCTCCTCCCCTCAAAACCAGTCAGAATTACCCGGGGGAAGGAGGATATTTGGGAGTCTTTGTGAAGACCCGAGGGCTTTCCAGGTGGAGATAAGCCTGGGACACATGGCTGTCCTTGGAGCCATAGAATCTGAACTGGAAGGTCAGAGAAGGAATGGGAAGTGGGAAAAGCGGAGAAGATTAATTTTGAGGGAAGGGAGTGGTGAAGAGGTAGAGATATTTGACACTTGTTTCCTCCTGTTTCTGTTTGTGTGTGTTGCTGTGGTTCTGGTTAGTAGCTGGATCAAAGAAGACTGGAAACATGTCGGAGTTTTGGTTAATTTCTGCCCCCGGAGATAAGGAAAATTTACAAGCCCTGGAGAGGATGAACACAGTTACCTCCAAGTCCAACCTGTCTTATAACACCAAATTCACAATTCCTGACTTCAAGGTACAATTTCCTGGGGAGGAGGAAGGAGGTCATGGGCTGGGGTGGGTATCTTCTGGAAAGCCAAGGAGAAAAAATATGTCAAAGGCACCAACACTGGGGTTCAGCCTGGGTGTGAGGCTGGACAGCGGGTTCCAGATAGGACTTGCCTGGGTGGGGGCTTCATGAATAGTCCCAAATGACCTGTGGTAACTGTGGACACAGAGCCACGGACAGAATGAGCAGGAGACGGGATGTGGCTAGCAGTGTCTTCAAAAGGTGGAAAGGGTGCCTTACACACTTGGGTCCTCAGGAGTTGTTCTCAGATCCTTTCTGTCTTCAACATCTAAGAAAACCAACATGGTTTAAATGTGCAAGCTTGGAGATGTTCATCCTTGATTGCGTTCTTGGGCTGGGAACAGGATGGGCAATCCAGCATCCCTCTGGTTCTGGTGGAGAGAGAAGGAAAGAGGTTCACTGATAACTACGTAGATGGCGGAAAGAGATTTTAAAATGAAACAGACATGACATAGGAGCAAGATATGTGAAATCTTTAAAAAAAATTTAGTAATCCTTTAAAAATTTATTTATTTGGCTACGCTGTGGGATCTTTAGCAAACTCTTCAGTTCAGTTGAGTCGCTCAGTCATGTCCAACTCTTTGCGAACCCCATGGACTGCAGCACGCCAGGCCTCCCTGTCCATCACCAACTCCCGGAGTTTACTCAAACTCATGTCCATTGAGTCAGTGATGGCATCCAACCATCTCATCCTCTGTTGTCCCCTTCTCCTCCCGCCTTCAGTCTTTCCCAGCATCAGGGTCTTTTTCAAATGAGCAAACTCTTAGTTGTGGCAAATGGGATCTTAGTTCCATGATCAAGGACTGAACCCAGGCCCACTGCACTGAGAGCGTGGAGTCTTAGCCACTGGACTACCAGGGAAGTCCCTGTAGTCTTCTTAACTTCAAAAAAAGTAGACTGTTTGCCATCTTTCCTCCAGGAGAAGAAGCGTAAGGCAGTCTTTCTGCCCTACAAATATCTCTTGGGGTCTGGAGTGCGTGTGTGCTAACAGTCAGTCCTGTCCGACTCTTTGCAACCCCATGAACTGTAGCCTACCAGGCAAGAATACTGGAGTGGGTTGCCATGTCCTCCTCCAGGGGATCTTCCCAACCCGGGGATCACACCTGCATCTCTTATGTCTCCTGCATTGGCAGGTGGGTTCTTTACCACTAGTGCCACCTGGGAAGCCCCAGGTTCTGGAGGGATGTCGCTAAGCGCCCAGAGACAGTTCTTCTGGTGAATTGCTATATAATCCTCTTTTAAACCTCTGTTTGCCTCTCTGGCAAAAGAGCTGCATCGTTGTTGTTGAGGCTACTGCATTTGCCAGAGTTTATGGACTGGGACACTGGAGGCCTGTACACCACAACTTTAAGTGCATCATCACCACTCCCACATTATAGATCAGGACGGGCTGTGAGGAAGGAAACTGGGGCTGTGGAACTGGTAAGCAGCAACACTGGCTTCTGAGCTCATTTCTTGCTGATTTTTCCAGCCTGCTGTTGTTTGTCCATGGTCACATATGTGAAGCTTAGTAAATGAAGCATCCACTCATTGCTTACTTACTACATGTGAGGCATTGTATTAGCCCAAGGGTACAAAGATTTAAAAAAGACATGACTTCTGCCTAAAGTTACTTAAAATCAAGTCCTCTGAAAAGGAATAACACTTATAGGAATATCCAGGGTTCATGGTTTCCTAATTACTTCTCAGTGTCTGATGGGTGGTTGATGATGTGAGAACAAACTTTTTCCTTCTGATTCTGTGAGTAGACAATATGATTTTGGACACGGTAGCAATTTCCACATGAAGAAACAGGTCATCATAAGTAACCTATCCTGAAAAGAAAAGGACTTTCCTAAATGAGAGCTGGAGGAAAAGCTGGGCTTGCCCCAGAAAGGTCATTGTTAATAACAGCAGAGAGGGCCAGACAGAAGGCTTGGCGGTACTAACTTGGAGGAGAAAGGCTTTCAGAAATGGTAACTTCCTCGATTGGCTTTTTGTCATATCTTTTCCTCAGCTCTCAGGATTAATCCCCTGAAGAGCAAACTGTCCTTCTCTTTTTCTGTCGTTTCTTTTTAAATTTTATCCCACTCAGTTATGTGGGATCTTAGTTCCTCAACCAGGGTTCAAACCTGTGCCCCCAGCATTGGAAGTGTGGAGTCTTAAGCACTGGACTGCTAGGGGAGCCCCCTAGCCTGCCATTCTTAGAGGAAAGTGAGCTGAGGCCAGACCAGGACACATAATCACTCCTGCCTGTGGCTGAAATGACAGTTTATCCACTTGGCCAAAAAATAAAATAATAGTAATAACAATAATATTCCCAAATCCACTGGTTTCTCTTGAGAGCCCATCTCGGTTTCCAATCTGACCGTTGACCAAGGAAAACTAAGTCAGGGTGGAAGAGAATTCCCTGCCCTGGAGTTGAAAGGGCACTCTCCCACCCCCTTGCTACAAAGTCTGAGCCCCTAACTTCTCTCCCATCTTTCTAGGTGGGGACCTTGGATTCCCTTGTCGGCCTCTCTGATGAGCTGGCGAAGCTCGATATCTTTGCTGAAAGGTAAAATATTTCTTATTTACTACATACAAGTGAGAATGTGCCAGTGTTGTCAGAAGACACAGTGCTTTTGCTTTGGCTGGCCCCGGACGTCACAGGAAGAGCCGGGTGGGTCTTTGTGAGGGTGCAGGAGACCTTGAGATTTGCTTGCTCAGGCAGCATGTTTTTTAGGGGGCTGCCCTTCAGAAGACTATGGAATAAGGTGCTGAAACACTTAGAAAAATATGATGCAGCTTCCCCCACCAAAAGCTTTTCAGTTTTTTTTTTTTTGTTTGGTTTTGTTTTTGTGGGAACATATGCACATGCACATCATTAAAAATTCAAATTACAAAGAAAGGCTGTCCAGTAAAATCTGCTTTCTTCTCACCTGTTTTCCAGTTTCCTGTCCCCTTGTTTTCCCTCTTTTAAGGCAATGTTAGTATAATTTTTAGGAAAGCCTTCCAGAGACAGTCTGTACCTGTACCAATAAATATGAGCATATTCTTAAGAATAATTTTATACAAATGATAGCATATATCTTACACCTTGTATCCCTGCCCTGAAACCCATTTCTTAGAGATAGTTTCATGTCAGCCCATAATTGTAAAAAACCGGCTATATTACCTTGACTAAATGTAACCTAATTTATTTGAATTTTCCTATTGATGGACATTTAAGTTTTCTAGTATTCTGCTATTACAAACAATGCTGTAATGACTGTCCTTTTTTGTGCTTCTTTGTGCCTATGTAGGAGTGGGATAATTATTTTAGAGCCTTAAAATCATTGATTTTAAAAAATTATTACAAATCTGGTACATAATCATTGGGAAATATTTATAGGTCATTATTGCTGTTAATTCACTAAGTGACATACACCTCTTTTCGACCCCATGGACTGTAGCCCACCAGGCTTCTCTGTCCATGGGATTCACACATTTTACGTGCGTTTCCCTTCATATGTTATACTTTGGATCTCACCATTATTAATCCACTGTAATGTTACACCATATGGATTTGCCATAATTTATCTTTTAGGTAGATTTTAAATAATAATACTATCTTGTCTTGGTGTATATGAAACTCTGTGGTTTAACAACTGTTTGCACTTGGTTCTAAGAAAAGTACAGATGAAATAGGTGACAAAAGAGTCTTCAGGGGCCAGGGCATACACCTACCACTCTGCATGTCCAGGGGAGACCAGGTTTTGGCTGCTTGATCCTCTGTAGAGGGTTTCCATTTTTTTTTTTCGCTTGTGCTGGGTCTTCATTGCTGCGTGGGCTTTTCTCTACTTGCAGCTAGTTGGGTTTATTCTCTAGTTGCAGTGCAAGGCCTTCTCATTGCAGTGGCTTCTCTTGTTTCGGAGCACAGGCTTCTTCAGTATTTGCAGCGGGTAGGCTCGGTACTTGTGACATAGGGGCTTAGTTGCTCCCAGGCATGTGGGATCTTCCTGAGGCAGGGATCGAACCCATGCCTCCAGCATTGGCAGGTGGATTCTTTACCACTGAGCCACCCACGGTTGCCTATTTTCAGGGACTGTGGACATGTGCTTTTATTACCTTCTCAGGGGAATGGTGATTTGGATGCTGAGGCCTTATCTGATTCATTTTAATGGAAATTGTAGATCTAGGATTTCTAGTGATCATACTAGAGGTTTCTGATCTGCAGCTTGGTGCCATGAGCTAGAAATTACATTTTCTGTGTTCTACTTGCTGTTCAGCCACCCATCACCTAAGAATAAAAAGAAGCCCTTTGTTAGTAACATCTTGCTCAGCGTGGGATGTTGGACTGACCACATAAAGGCAATCCTAATCATCAAGTAGTTTGTAGCTCACAGTCCTCGAGAAAGAAAACCTTCACCTTCCTCATCTGTAAAATGGGATAGTAGTGATCATCTCTGTGCTTTCAGGGAAGAGTGAAGGGGAGTCAAATCATGTTGAATCAAGAATGATCAAATCCCAGGACATGTTCTAAGAATCACTGACATCCAAGAAACAAGTGGGTTGGTCCCTTAATATCAGCTCCTTTCAAAGGCTGCTCCACCCCTTTGGGGTGGTGGGGAGGTGGGGAGGTGGGTCTAACAGATACCAAGGAGCCTAGCCCGCAATCCTGGACTGGTGATGCCTTTTCTTGGCAGCCCTGACAAACAGCAGGATGCTATGCAGTGAAGGTGCAGCAGCATTGGCCTAAGAAGAGTAAATTGTTAACAAAAAAAAAGAAAAAGTGTGAATTTTTCCTAGGCCTGCTGTAGAAATGACAACTAGTCAATGTTTTAATTTTTCTGGACCTTTCTTTGCTACCAGTTTTCTTCCTTAAAAAGGTGCATGTCCTTAACCTCTTCCTTATTCACCAGAGCCCTTTCTATCTCTCATAAAATTCTGTGATCTTAGATTATTATCACTTCCGCTTTCCTTTTTTGTTTGTTTTTTGGTTTGGTTTTTTTCAGTAGTCCTGTGCCTATTGGTTACACAAATTACTTTTGTTTAAGAAAATAATGAGCAAGGCAGATTAAGGCTGTAATTGTGAAACAGCACCTGAATGAATTAAAGAGTTTTTTTTTTAATATATAAACAGAGTGAGGTATGGCAGAATGAAAATCACTGTGCCTTGTATTTTTTTCTTTGTGGGTGCATATTCCCAAGAGCCTTCCTATCAGGAGAAGAAAAGTGGTGTGGACTGAACACCCTGAAATTCTTATTTTTAGCATTCATCCAGTCTAGAGGTCAGATAACTTTTGTTTGGGGATTAATGCTGGAGCTTGGGGTAAAATAATGGGAAACACTGATAAAATACAGAGATCAGCTTCAGTTAGAAGGACGCAAGTGTTATTAGATAAATAAAGGCTAGCCGGGAATGTAACCCAGGCAGCATGAACCCGTCAGCACTGCTTCTGGTTAGGAGAGCAGAGAAGGATCTGGAGTTTTCAAGGTATATTGTTTCCACCTCCTTTTATTATTTATTTACCTGGGGCACTAGAGTGTTTTTCCGTGTAGCTGGAAGGCAGTTTTTGCTTGCTTACTGGAGCCTTCCTTTTATTTTTGATTGACTGCCCCATACCATCTTTGGTAATTTACCCTGTGTTTACATTTTGATTCACGAACATTTGAGAAACCAAATGATTTTTCCTTGAAAAGAGCCCTCCCTCCCTCCTCCTCCTTTTTTTTTTCCTTCTATGTTTGAGTTCTCAGTATCTTAGCTTGTTTTGTGGTGCTGGTTAAAATATTACATTTCACTGGCACTTGGGCTGTCAGACGCACCTCGTGAGTTTCTTTGGTGCTTTGGTGACTTTCACCTGCCCCTGAGAGCATTACCTGGCCTGTGGAGTCACTGGTGGATTTTCTTTAACCATGTGGTTCTGTGAAGCTGACTGCGGGCTGGCTGATGAAAGATTCCATATCCGAGTGTGGATGTCTGTTTAGTGATGCGGGTCTCAGAGAGTCAGCTCTTCAAAGGGCACTCTAGAGACAAGCAAAATATGCTACCCAAGCTTCTCTTCTCTGCCCCTGCAAGAATATCAGGTCAAGGTTATCTGCATTGACGCAGCTTAGATTCACTGGACAAATATCAGCTGAATGCCTGTTTATGCTTTCTGGAGTCCTCAGGGCTTGGTCGTCCTGCTGCATGTGAGCCGACTTCCTGCTCCCTGGAATGAATAGCCTTCCCCACATCCTACTCTCCCTGTTATTGCCTGTTTCCCCCCTTTCAGCTCCCCCAGACTCTTCTCCCAACCTCAGCCCCCACCTTCAGACTCTTAGTATTGGGCTGGCCAAAAAATTCATTTGGGTTTTTCTGTAAGATGGTACAGAAAAACCCGAATGAGCTTCTTGGCCAACCCAATGCCACTGAGCACACCTGTCCCCTCCTTCGTAACGCCTTCTATGGTGCCCTTGTATATTTTCTTGTGGCATCATTGGAAGACTGTCTTCCCAGCTAGACTGTAAGCTCCTGAAAACCAGCTGAATGAATGAACAGAAGAAAGAATCCTGGAATATTAGAGCTGACCAGGTCTTTAGAGATCTAATCTAACTCTTTCATATTCCAGATGAGGAAACATGCCCAGACAGAAGCTTCTGGAAAAAACTGGGTGGGCTGGGGGAGTAGAGGGGAATAGACCTTTGATCCAAATTCAACAATTCGCCCATTGTTGGGCTGTTGATCTCTGCCTTGTTGTTGTTTAGTCACTAAGTCGTGTCCAACTCTTTGCGACCCCATGAACTGTAGCCTGCCAGACTGCTCTGTCCATGGAATTTTTCAGGCAAGAATACTGGAGTGGGTTGCCATTTCCTTCTCTAGGGGATCTTCCCAGTCCAGGGATTGAACCCTCATCTCTTAGGTATCCTGCATTGATAGGCAGGTTCTTTACCACTAGCGCCACCTGGGAAGCCCAGAGCTGAAGGCAGTCTTCTCAAACAGACACGTGAGTCCCCTGGGGATCTTGACAAAATGCAGAGTCCAACTCAGCATGTCTGGGCTGAGCCTGGGATTCTGCATTTTTTCGCAGCTCCCCAGTGATACTGGTATTGCTGGAGACCACCCTTGGTGCAGCACGGTTGAACAGGGGCTCTCAGAGTGTCGTGTGGGTCAGAATCATATGGAAGATTTGTTAAAACATGGATTTCTGGGCTCCCCTTCCAGAATTTTTGCATCAGTAGCTGTGATGCGGGACCTCAGAATCTGCATTTCTACAAGTTCTCAGATGATGCTGATGCTGCTGGCCTCGGTGCTAAGACTGAGAACTGCTTCTTTAAATGGTGACGGGATGATCCATTTCTGCAAAGTTTAAAATACGTCACTCTGAGGTATTGGGGCTTGCTGCACTTTTAGGAGTAGTTCTGTTCCTCCAAATTTCCAGGATTCTCGAGTTTCCTCTTTGGGAGAAGTGTATCAATTTTGGTAATTTTCATTTTCCTCAAAAATAATCCACATTGTTGACTTTTCCAAGTTATTTGTGTAGAATCAGCTATTTTTGTTTTGTGATTGTCTCTGCTTAATTTCTCTTTATCTCTCTCTGTTTTTTGGTGTTTTTG